GGTGAAGGCAGAGAGAGAGTGTGTGGCCTGCATCCAGGGAGAAAGAGGAGAAGTCCGGCCTCAAAGTCATTTATCTTGGTTGCCTTCCAATCAATCTGCGACCTGATTGACAGGCTAAACTCTATGTTCCTATGGGACTCATGTTGGCACAGAAAACCTGTCACAGTACTTAGTTCTCTGACACACTTGAGTTGACATGGGGCAGAATCACTCTACTGTAACTGGTTTCCTTTTATGTTGTATAATAAAAGTCTCATATGCTTTGCCTAGAATCATGCTATACAGTTGAAAGAAAGTAGTGGGTAGATATTTGTGGGGGGAAAGGCCAGCCCCCCACAACTTATCATGGGTTCAGTAAGCACAATTGTATGGCTAAGATATATAAAGATGACAGTAAAGTCATAGAGTACGAGAAAGATAGGAGGGAGAGTCAAATAAGTCAGATACATTTCATGGTAGCGTGCTCACCTCCTGGATGGCCATGATCTTACCAGCCAGGTCTGCGCACAGCATGGGCCGAGGTGAGGTGAGGTGGAGACCCCATTTATTGCTAACCAAGGCTTATATCTACTTAGGGGGGCGTGATTACAGGTAACCACACATCACAGGAAGGGACAGGGCCAGTACAGTAGGCATACACATCATAGGAAGGTGATGTACAATAGGCATAAGCATAATAGGAAGGGGATGAGCTAGGAGTGTGCACATAGGAAGGGGAGGGACTAGAGGTATACATGTGACAAGATGGGTGGACCCTAGATTCATGATGGCGGCCTAACCTTGGCCACCCTTTGGTGGGCTTGACCTCCCTGGGGACTCCTCCAGGGGAACAGCTTACTACTATCCTTATCAGAAGGGAGTGGGCCCTACTTGTGGGAGTGGGCCCTACTTGTCTAATTGCTCTAGATGGCTGATAACCCAATCTTTCTGTTTCCCACAGATATTCGTAATGGATTGAGATAAATTCACTTTTGCTTTTCATATATTCGGATGATGCTTTGTCTTTTATTTCATTTAGAGTACTCAAAGGGCTTTGGAGGAAGATTTACAGAGAGCAAAAAAAACAATCTATCAGCTCACTGGAGAAAAAGAAGCACAAATGGAAGAATTCAAAAACACTAAAGCTGCTCATTCATTTTTGGTTACTGAACTTAAAACTACTATCTGCAACTTAAATGAATTGCTGACATCAGAACAGCAAAGGTAAAAATATTGACAGTTGAGTAAAAATAATTTACTTTTAATATTTAGTATCATTTTCTATTGCCAACTGACTTGCTGTTCTGAAAACCTTTAGTCACTCTTCAAAATACATAGTGCTGCTATTTAGCTCTCTTATAACTGAAATACCACAGGTGAATGGTTTTAGCAAGTAGACATGTATTCTTTCACAATTTAGGAGATTAGAAGTTTGGATTAAGGGTGCCAACTATGGGGAAGGCATTCTTTTTTTCTGTTGGCTCTAGGGTATAATCCCTTTGTCTCAGTCTTTCCCTAGGCATAGAAGGTTCTCAGTGCAGGGACATGTGGTCCAAAGAATGTGTTCTGCTCTTGGCTGTCATTACTTGGTGGTAATGAGGTCCCTTCTCCTCTTCTTTATCTCCTGTAGAGTGATGAAGGAGGATGACTCAAGATACATCTCACCCCAGTCCTCATTAACACATCCTAATTCTGTCTCAATAACATAATAGAATAGAGGCTAGATTTTGACAGTACATTAGAGACAATAGAGGATAGTCACACAATATTGAGAATCTAGGCCTAGTCATGTTGACACACATATTTGGGGGACACAATTCAAACCATGACAGGCATGAATATATTTTAAAAGTTGTATTAGGTAGGCAGGTATTCTAGGAAAAGACATAAAGGCACGTGATCTTAAGAGTTCCTTGGTTAATAGGTAATGACGTTGACTGCTAACCACAAGGTTGAAGGTTAGTCTACCCAGAGTCTCCTCAGAAGAAAGGTCTGGCGATCTACTTCAGAAAAAATTAGTCATTGAAAACCTTATAGTACTCAGTTATTTGACACACTTTGGGTTACCATGTGTCAGAATCATTCTATTGTAACTGTTTTTTTATTCTCTCCATTGTTTCATGTATGCTTTGCCTAAAATGGTATGCAGACAGGCTCACAAATTTTGGTACAGATTATTATTAGTTACCATAGAGTTGACTCTGACTCATAATCTTATGTACAACAGGACAAAATTCTACTCAGTCCTGTATCATACCCATGATCATTGCATGTTGGAGTCCATCTTTACAACTGTTGTGCCAAATCATCTCACTGAGGATCTTCCTTGCCCTCATCCTCCCTCTTTACCAAATATGATGCGTTCCTCTAATGATCGGTCTCTCCCGCCTTATGATGTGTCTAAAGAAATTAAGTCAGGCAATGTTCTGTTGTGATCCATGTGATAATAATTTATTTTGTAAGAATTAATATCAAACTAATCCTAAAGAGTTGAAGACTGAAAAAATATCTCAAAAGTCCAGCTCTTGCAAGATAGTTTCCTCCATATCCCACTAACTCCTCTCTTCAGTGTATTCTCTCATGTCTCTGGGTTCTGTGAATTGCTGCAGTGTCCCACAAGTCATGTAAGTTCAAGGAAATGTCTCATGTGCTGGGAGCAGCTTAGTCCAAAGTCTGAAGGTCAGCAAGGGTAAGCCACGTGCTGGGGCTGAGGACTCACTCTTATCCTAGATCTTGCTGTTGGTGAGATCACTTCTGCTTCTCAGTGGACTCATTTTTTATGCATCATGATGGGATTTCAGGGAATTCTGTTCACAATTACGGGCAAATCCTATTAGAATTTTCTCTCACTCTTTACTAGAACCATGCATGGAAAGGTCATTTGGTGGGAGTTACATGGTACAATCAAATTGCATCCAAAAGTAATAATGTGTTCTCTACCCCTGGAAGCGATCTTGTATATGCATATACGATCTGGGGTCTCTGGCAAGATGTTTCCAGTAGGCTCTTGCCTCCTACTGTTAATCAACCAGATTTTCCCCCCAAGTCATTCCAGAAACAGTTTTTCTCCTTTCAGTTGTACCATATAATTCATTATATCCATTGTAAGTAATAGTAACGAAGATAACCATTAAAGAGTGTGGCCCAATTCATACCCCCTAATAAGGTTGGAACTCAGTCTCATTCCATGCCCTTCAAAATGGGACCACAATCACAGGC